TGCATGTTTATAGCAGCACAATTCTCAATTGCAAACGTGGAAAGTCCAAATGCCCATCAATCAACGAGTAGATAAGGAGATAAACTGGTGTGTGTGTGTGTGTGTATGTGTATGATGGAATACTACTCAGCTTTAAAGAGGAATGAATTAATGGCATTCACAGCAACCCGGATGGGACTGGAGACTATTATTCTAAGTGAAGTAACTCAGGAATGGAAAACCAAATGTCATGCGTTCTCACAAGTGGGAGCTAAGTTATGAGGATACAAAGGCATAAGAATGATACAGTGGACTTTGAGGACTCGGCACAGAGGGGAAGGGTGGGAGAGAGATGAGAGATAAAAGGCTACAAACTGGGTTCAGGGTATACAGCTTGGGAGATGGGTGCACCAGAATTTCGCAAGTCACCACTAAAGTACTTACCATGTAACCAAATACAACCTGTTCCCCCAAAATCTATGGCAATCAACCATTTTCTTTTTTAAAAAAAGAAATATCTGAAACAGTAATTACTGAGAATTTTACAAATTAATGTCAGACACCATACCACAAATATAGGAAGCTGTCTTATTTTGAAAGAAGCCGGAAGAAAAATGCACCTTAGCTGTAGAGGAGCAGAACATTCAACTTCTCCTCAGAAACCATGCAAGCAAGAAGAGAGTGGAGTGAAATATTTAAAAATATTTATTTAAAGTATTGAGAGAAATACCTTACCTTATTAAGAACATGAACTGAGATAGCTCTAGTGATCTAGACTAAGAGAGCCTTTGAATGACCGAGTTCCACCTGTCAGTCTAACTCAAGACTCAGATTCTCAGCAGGGTCGGATTTGCCCAACAAGCGTGATCATCCCACATGTGGCTGATGGCACAAGGCACTTTGATTAACCAAATGCTGTCAGCAGCTGCCACCCCCAACCCCCCGGTCATCATTACCACAGCACCATGTTTCCACCCCTACCCCAGCCCTAGAGGCTGTGGAGCAGCATATTAAGGACCACTGTACTGCATGATTCCTAAAGCTGTTTCCATTTAAAACAATCAGATATATTTCCGTTGCTGAGCAAAAGATTTGCCATTCTTTTTTCTCTTTTTTCTTTTCGTTTTTGTTTTTTCTTTGAGACAATCTGGCTCTCTCACCCAGGCTGGAATGTGGAGTGCAGTGGTGCTATCATAGCTCACAGAAGCCTCGAACTCCTAGGCGCAAGCAATCCTCCTGCTTCAGCCTCTAGAGTATCTGGTACTATAGGTACCTGCCATCATGCATGGCTAAGTTTTAAATTATTTTCTAGAGATGTGGTCTTGGTATGTTGCCCAGGCTGGTGTCAAACTCCTGGACTTAAGTAATGCTCCTGCCTCCGCCTGCCAAAGTGCTGGGATTATAGGCATGAGCCACCATGCCCTGCCTCTTCAGTTTTATTTCTTTAAGGACACAGACTTCAGAGCTAGATCCTGGATTCAAATTCCACAATCATAGCTCTGCTGTTTACTAGCAGTTACTTCCTTTCAGTTTTTACATAATCTTACTTTGGGCAATTATGTAATCTCTCGGTGCCTCTGTAAAATGGAGATGGTAATAGTACCCATTTCATAGTGTTGCTGTGATGATTAAATTAGTGTGAATAAAGCATTTAATATACTGCCAAGAGCATTAGTATAAATGTATGCAAGTATAAGCTATTACATTTATAAAATGAGATATTACTAATTAAGTTTCACACAGGCAACATAAAAATACCTAAAAATTTTTTTGGTTGGGAGTTACCTCTTAAAAATTTAATTACTGGCCAGGCATTGTGTCTCACACCTGTAATCCCAGCATTTTGAGAGGCTGAGGCAGGCAGATCACCTGAGGTCTGGAGGTTGAGACCAGCCTGGCCAACATGATGAAACCCAGTGCCTCTACTAAAAATACAGAAATTAGCCAGACATGGTAGCATGTGCATGTAATCCCAGCTACTTGGGAGGCTGAGGCAGGAGAATTGCTTGAACCAGGAGGTGGAGGTTGCAGTGAGCCCAGATTACTGCCCTGCACTCCAGCCTTGGCGATAGAGTGAGATTCTGTCTAAAAATAAATAAATAACATTAAAATTTAAACGACTTCATCTGGAGAAGCGTTCTGCTGTGGCATTTAGCTTAGAACTGTACTGTGAAGAATACCAGTGAATTATTTATTCCTTAATTCAGTATTTTTTGAGTGCTTGCCAGGCATATGCTATATTCTAGGAAGACAGGGAATTTACACACTAGTAAAGGAAGTGGTAACTAAGTGAACAAATAAAGCTCAGGTTAATTATTGATATGGTAAGAGCTGTGAAGGAATCAGCAGACAGGCCTGGGAGGATTTGTTGTGGGCATGAAGCAGATGAGAGGTCTGGACTGGACCATGGTGAGCTGTGGGGAGAGGAAACAAGGGCTGTCGGAGAGGGTGCTGGAGCCATGTTCTGCAGGGCCTTCAAAACCCCAGCAAGCAGCTGGGAATATACAGGGAGTTTGAATTTCTTTTCAAGGAAGCTGTAAAGAGGGATTTTACCCAGGGGAGTGTGCTGGTCTCCCAGCACATTTACATTTGGTAAAGTTGTTTTCTGCCTATTGCATAGAGAAGTAATTGGGGAGGGGCAAGCCCAGCCTGGCAGTAGATAAGTGCAACACTCCAGGGCTAGGCTGAGTGGCGGCAGTGAGGTGGAAGGAAATGCATGCAGTCGAGTCAGAACACACACATTTATTTTGGCGGTAGACTTGACAGGTGGTGATGATGACTTGGATGAGGAAGACAATGAGGAGGCAGGGACATTACCTAGATTTTTGGCTAAGTACCATTTTGACAGTATGCATTATATTCCCTCTATTATTAACTTTTTTTTTTTCATTTTGACATGAACCTTCCCTCTAGGGAAAAGACCCCATAAGTGCTGAGGCAGGAGCCAAAAGCCTCAGCCTATTTCCATATAAATAATGAAGAAGAAAGTACCTAGAAATATAGTCGTAGTCTTAGTTAATCATAGGTGATCTTAATTCTTAGACTAATGCCTCTCAGATCGGAAGTGTGAACCTGAGGTGACATTGTGAAAAAAAATGACACTAAGGCAAGATGCTTTATGCCCTCTGTCATGCCTGCATAAGGGCTGCTGGAGGGTGCCTTGGCTGTGCGGCAAAGTGCCCACTGTTTAGCTAGCTAGGGAAGGAGACGTCCAAAATAGCTGAGACGTCTCCTTCCCCCAAGGAGTTAGGAAGAAACTCCACTTCTCCAAGCTCTTGTGGTAAGGCCTGACGGTTGTCAGGTAGGCCTGCAGACATCTGGGGGCTTAATTGTCTCTATGTGATGCTGTGCTTCAGTGGCCAGGTTCCATGTCTACTCTCATGTTATGCCTCTGCACCTAGTTTCTTTTTTCTTCGAAAAGATAATCAGTAATAGTAATATAAATCTTAATGTTTTTGTTCTTTCTTGATAAGTATGGAAAAAGTGCTGATGTATTATGCTCCTTACTCACTTCAGGTGCCAGAAATTCCTAGCCCCTACCTGAATGACATGTGATGTACTTGACGATATCACTGCCACGCTCTATTTACCCTGTCCCCGGTCTCCAACCACCAAGACTCCACCCTACCTACCCTGCCCCCAGATTTGCAACCCAATTAAAGTGAGAGCATCCAGGCATTTGGGGCCACTGCTGGGCTCCGCGATTTGGGTAGCAGTGGACCCCTGGGCCCAAACTCTCTTTTCTCTATCTCGGTGTCTTGTGTCTTTTATTTCTACAATTTCTCGTCTCTGCACCAGCTGGGAGGGGCTCACAGAACCCTCTAGGGCTGGCTGGACCCTACACTTCCCTAAACCGTAAATGTTCTAGTATGTGTGCGGCCCAAGTGAACATAAAAACTGCACATTTTTAGGTATTTTAAAACTATAATTTTCCCAATCTAGATTTTTTTGCATTGCAGTCAAATTGTACAGTTGTCTTAAATTTCTTCTTGTTTGGTTATGGGAACCTCCTTTGTTGATATTTTGGATATTTAATTGGGAGCATTTCACCTGTTAATTATGGCTGTTGAGGATTTAAACTTACTTTATTTACCACCAGTCTTTTGAAATTAGGTTGCTGAATATCCTCCCTGTACCGGGGAGTGTCAGAGTCTGTGAAGGCCTGCATCTGTTGAGAGGCAACCTTTCCTCCTCTGGGATTCCTGCTTCCAGCTTCCACTGGCAATGGAGGGGAGGGGTGTGGGATGGGAGCAGGCAACTGGAGCTGCTGAACCAGCTCCATCTGTGCAACTCCATTGTTCTTTTTAGCATGGCCTTCAGGGGTAGGAAGTCAGGCTTATAAGATTTTATCTACTGTCACTTAGAACCAGTATTCCTCCTCAGAAATTGGAATTTATTATTATTTTACTAAAATAGGGCTTCTTGTGAATGAAGTGAGATCAAGCATATAAAGCAATCTTTAGTTAAAAGATTGCTTAAATTGATTAAAGTGGAATGAATTATTTTACTTTTTTCCAAGAAATGAGAAACTGGGAAAAGATTCATTAGACTGTAATGCATAGAGATTTTTTTACATCTAAATGAGAAGCCAGAAATTCATATAAAACATAAGAACTTCAAAAGCATTTCTTAGGCACAGACTATTATTAAACATTCTTGGATGTTTTTGATTTCCTATTACATTAAAATACTCAAAAATCAACTTCAGAACATTTAAAAATAGCTCAATCTTAAAAAGAAGATATAAAGTATTATCAGCTGTGCTTTTTGTGCATAATTAGCATGTTCCTGTGGAGGTATAATGACTTCTAGCCTAATGATAGTATCATGATAAAAAATTCAGATGGTAAAAATTGGAGCTCCAGCTGGATGACGCATTTTATAACAATTTAAAGATGACTCTAGCATAGAAGCCATGCTGTTTTAGTTCCTTGTAATCCCATCTTCACCCATCAATGGGTCACGTAGGCACTAATAAAAGAGTCTTTTAGAAATGCTTCTATTTTTTCCCTTTCTTACAGATTTAATGTATGCCCGCTATTTCCTTCAGTGCTGCATAGGCTTCTGTGAAGGGGATGTCACCTTTTCCCTTTTTCCAAGATGGCTCAAGATTCAGTAGATCTTTCTTGTGATTATCAGTTCTGGATGCAGAAGCTTTCTGTATGGGATCAGGCTTCTACTTTGGAAACTCAGCAAGACACCTGTCTTCACCTGGCTCAGTTCCAGGAGTTCCTGAGGAAGATGTATGAAGCCTTGAAAGAGATGGTAAGTAGGAGACCAAAATAATGAAATGATTTTCTGACTTCAGGGTCTCTACCAGATTTCACCAAGACACAATGCCATCCAGAGTTGGGACTTGTGGTATTGCCTAAAATGCCAATGGATTAGGAAGACAAATTACCTAAGAGCTGGTTTCCTAGTCTCTGATTTATTATATTACTATAATTTCTTCTTGAGTAGCTGTATTGTCACATGAGACTTCCGGACCAAGCAAGTTGTTTTTAAATAATTAAGATTTCATGCTTTTTGTCAAGTAGTAAATGGGATTCTTTTAAAGGCCTTTGTGTCTCTTGAATCTCAGAGAATTTGCTACCTGCTTAACCTTTCCTCCACCCTGTTCTCAAGTGGGCTGTCCTAAGAGATGATAAATATTAAGATTTTTTATAAATATAACACTTTTTATAAATATTAAGATTTTGAGTATCTTTACTATTATATAATTTATTATTTTCAAAATTTAATATTTTTTATGGGTATCATGTTTCATATTTTTATGACTTGACACTTGTTTATATATTATGAGCTAGTATTTTGCATTTAATTTCAAAATGAAAAGCAAAATTATGTGAACAACCAAGCTAATTAAAAAAATATATATATATTTATATATACGTATATATATATTTTTATAAAATTTTTTATAAATATATATAAATATATATACGTATATATATATATATATTTTTTTTTTTTGAGACAGAGTTTTGCTCTGGTTACCCAGGCTGGAGTGCAATGGCACAATCTCGGCTCACCGCAACCTCCGCCTCCTGGGTTCAGGCCATTCTCCTGCCTCAGTCTCCCGAGTAGCTGGGATTACAGGCACGCACCACCATGCCCAGCTAATTTTTTGTATTTTTTAGTAGAGACGGGGTTTCACCATGTTGACCAGGATGGTCTTGATCTCTTGACCTCGTGATCCACCCACCTCGGCCTCCCAAAGTGCTGGGATTACAGGCGTGAGCAAAAATATTTTTATTTAATGAGACATATGTAACTTGACTTTTATGTGGTCCCAGAAAGTCGAGGACCAGCCTTGATGCTGGGACACATTTGAGAGATATTTTGCTGCCGCAGCAGAAAGTTCCCATTGTTTCAGCTTACCTGCACATTAGTTTGCTTTTATTTTTTAACTTTTATGAAAGGTAAGAAGTGGAAAAAGGTCCAGTTGTAAAATAGCGTGGGTGTTTTTAAGTTTTAAGCTGTTTTCTATTTGGTTGATCCTTTTTTTGTCAGGGTTTAGATTGTTACAGACTAAATATGATGTAATTTACCATACAGTAATCAAAATAGTAATAAACAGAGATATATACATTTATGCTTTGGCTGTTTTTATTTCTTTATTCAAGTTCCAGAGTTCTTGTTTTTTTAAACCTTCTTTGAAATAGCCTTAGTGGAGCTGAGTTAGTAACCTCTCTTACGTTAGAATAAAAAACCAGGATGAAGATATAGGATTTTGTGGTTATTGATCACCAATATTGTGTTTTCCCTTTTTTTTTTTTTGAGATGGAATGTCACTCTGTCACCCAGGCTGGAGTGCAATGGTGAGATCTCGGCTCGCTGCAACCTCCTCCTCCCAGATTCAAGCAATTCTCCTGCCTCAGCCTCCCGAGTAGCTGGGACTATAGGCACATGCCAGCACGCTTGGCTAAATTTTGTATTTTTAGTAGAGATAGGGTTTCACCATATTGGTCAGGCTGGCCGTGAACTCCTGACCTCAGGTGATCCACCTGCCTTGGCCTCCCAAAGTGCTGGAGTTACTGGTGCGAGCCACTGTGTTCAGCCCAGTAATGTGTTTTCAACTCTTGAGCAATCTTTGTTATTTTTAAATAAAGTAGCCTTTCCTGAGTAGAATTAATTTTGCAACACAATTGATTTTACCTAACTATGTCATACATCTTAGTTTGGTGACTAAGGATGGTTTAAGGATGAAGTAAGGTGGTCGGTTGCTTTTTAAGCTTTATTTGAATTGCTTAGCTAAAGATCTTCTCTAATCCTTCTTTTGCCACCTTTTAAAAATGGTATACTAAACAAAAAGCATTCAGGCTCCCTTAACCTATATCAGTTCAGTCTTTCTGAGTTGCATAATACCTTTACTGACCAAAATGTAATTTTCTTTCATAGGATTCTAATACAGTTATTGAAAGATTCCCCACAATTGGTCAACTATTGGCAAAAGCTTGTTGGAATCCTTTTATTTTAGCATATGGTAAGAATCCAAAATGAATCCTCTCAAAATGACTATTTTAATCTTTGCATTGTTTCACAGAGGCTTAGATTATGAACCTTTCTTTTATTATTTCTTTTTCTGGAACAGCTTATCAAATGTATTCATTGTTCCATTACAAAGATGGCTTCCTATACTGTTGTTCACGTCTGTGTGTGGTTTGTATAGACATACACACACGTGCACACGCACACATGCACCCAGTGCAGATCTTTAGGAAAATAGAGCCCTTTGTATTAGAGGACAGAAATTCCTAGATGATTTAGATATCTATTTTTGCCTGTAATCACTTTCATAACTTCATTTTAAATTCAGTATAAAATGGCCATACTGATACCGGGTTACTTTTCACGGTTTTATAACAACTCATACTGTTTCACGGTTTTATAACAACTCACACTGTTTCCCATGTTATAAAGTCATACTTCAGAGTCTGAATCCTGCCATGACTTTGCCTTTGCCTTTGGCTGCTTTGACTTTATTTAGGAGTGCCATTTTGGTTTTATTTAAGGTTGAGAGGAATTTGGGGGCACTTTGGGGAGGTATCCTTCATTGAGCTCCTGCTTGCTGTCCAGTGTCATTTCTTGTTTCATCTTCTACCACTATACCTCATGATAGTAGCTGGGTCCTATTACTAACAGTGCTTGATGGTGCTTTGCATCAGAATTTCTTTTACACTCATTCTCCTTTGCAGTAGCCTTACTGGGCTGAGTTACAAACTGCTGGGAGTGTCTCCATGACCTCCAGCATCTTCCTTTAATACACTTACTTCACTGTCTGATGCCCTGGAAGACAGCATGCCTCTCCAGGACAGGAACCGTGGTTTTAGTTCTCTTTGTCATCCTAGGGCCTCCCAAGGAACATGGCTGAGGTTTGCCAATATAATATTAGCTAATATATTAGCTAATATAATACTTACTTTTCAGATTTTTTAAAGTCAAAGGCTAATTGCATAATATAATGACATTAGAACCCAAAATGAAATGAATATTCCCCTCTGATGTTTTAAAGAATCATACAGTTTCCCATTTCTAGGCTGTCGTAGTAATTATTGGAAGAGATGTGAACTAGGCGGGAAAGGGACAACATGTGTGTTTAGCCCTGTGAACATGCGTGCATGGACACCCACACACTCAGCCTCGCTCACTCCACCCCACCCTCATCTGTCCCTCCTTTTTTCCACTTACGCCTCTTCCCCCAACCCCTAAACTTGTTTGAATTCTTGATTCAAATTGGCAAAAGTAGTGAGTCAGTGTGTTTTCCCATTAGGGCTACGCTTATCTGTCCTAGGTTTATCTGTTGCCGTTAGGTCAGTGTTGTTCAAACATCTTTGACCAGAAATACATTATGTACGTGTGTATGTGTGTATATGCATATATACATGGATGTGCACACACACACAGAGTAAAACACATCTCATGAAAGAATGCATAGAATAGCCCCTCTTTGACTTTTTGCAGTTTCAGTTACCCACAGTATAGAACAATAAGATTTTTTGAGAAAGATCACATTTATATAACTTTTCCTTTTCTTTTTTTATTTGGGACAGTTTTGCATTTGTTGCCTAGGCTGGCGTGCAATAGCATAGTCCGGGCCCACTGCAACCTCCACCTCCCAAGTTCAAGCAGTTCACCTGCCTCAGCCTCCCGAGTAGCTGGGATTACAGGTACCTGCCACCACACCCAGCTAATTTTGGATTTTTAATTGAGACGGGGTTTCACCATGTTGGCCATGTTGGTCTTGAACTCCTGACCTCGGGTGATTCGCCCACCTTGGCCCCCGAAAAGTGCTGGGATTATCGGTGTGAGCCACCTCACCTGGTTTAAGGGATTAACAATGACAACAATGCAATAAATCAAGGATAACAATATCGTTAACATAAACATGGGGAGGTGTATGATGTAGTGTGAGAGGCATTGCTCACTTTGTGCTGGGCACTGTTCTCTGTGGACTACATAATGGACCTAATTGAATTCTTGACGACAGAGTTGTGGGGTAGAAAATTACGGATTGGAGTCAATAAGTAGCTTTCCCTAGAATACAACACTAATAAGAGCCAGAATCTCACTTCTCAATGTGACTTTAAAGTCCACCTTGTTGTAATGTTCTGACTCTATTGGATCACATCCTGTGATCGTAGTGTTCCAGTATTGGCATTCCCACTAGCCAGTTTCACTTGCACGTACATAGTCATTCTGCAGGTATTTACCAAATGGTTTTATTTATTTATTTATTCATTCATTTATTTATTTTGAGACAGTCTTGTTCTGTCACCCAGGCTGGAGTGCAGTGGCGTGATCTTGGCTCATTATGACCTCCACCTCCTGGGTTTAAGCGATTCTCCTGCCCCCCACTCCTGAGTAGCTGGGATTACAGGTGCTTGTCACCACGCCCGGCTAGTTTTTTGTATTTTTAGTAGAGGTGGGTTTTCACTGTGTTAGCCAGAATGGTCTCTGTCGCCTGACCTTGTGATCTGCCCGCCTTGGCCTCCCAAAGTGCTGGGATTATAGGTGTGAGCCACTGCACCCGGCCTACCAAGTGTTTTTGTGTGTGTGTATGCCAGCCTTTAGGAAAGGCTCACCGTCTTTGCCCATTGTGACCTTCCAGTCAGGGAAAAGAGATACCTAAGCAGGTCAGCCTCACTCAATATGATTGTTTCTGAATGGGAGTAGCAGTTGCTGAGAGGAACGAGGGTTTCTCAGGAGAGCCCCTACTGGGGCTGACTTGAAGATGTGATTCTCTAAGACAGGGCAGCTGAACTCGTGGGGTCTCATTTTTTTTTTTTTTTTTTGTAAAAATAGGAAATTAGATGATTTGTTTCCGTGTCCTTGAACTCATATCTGTCTGTGATCTTTCCTTAGCACCTTATCAGCATTGGCCTTGGCCCCCTCTAACAACCATAAACAAATTCTCCATCCCTTTCTGTCTCAACACTTGTGTTCCCTTTGAACTGCCCATAAATTTCAGTTTCCTGTTGAGGTATGCACTGACTATTAGCTCACAGAGGCAGCTGAATGACAGTGAGCAGTCACATGTTGCCTGTGTCACCCCTGTTGTTTCACACGTTGGGCACTTTATTCCTGGAAGGGATCTTATGGTTTTATAATATCAAAATTGCTTTTTAATTACAGTAAAAGCAAACAATTTTCGTCATGGAAAAAAGTAAGCCATACGTAGTGTTCATGGAGAATAGGATCAGAAAAGGGTAATAAGGAAGTAGGGATGATTTGGAAATAAAAAGATACTGAAAAGAGAAGAGACGAAATCGATAATAATGGAAAGCAAGAGAACACCTTTTTATTTGGCAGCGTCCTCAGCATAAAAACACTGCCTTCACCTTCTGAAATTCTGGTCCATTGCTTCTAACTCTGCCCTCATGATGAAGTGTAACAGCTGTTACCTCTCTTCTTCACTACTCACTCTATTCTGTATAACAAATTTCTGCCAAACTTAGCAGTTTAAAACAGTGAATATTTATTGTCTTAAAAATGTGCTGCCTTCATACTTTTAGAGTATGGAATTAAAGATTAAAGATTTAGTTCAGCTTTTATGTGGAATTTCAATTCCAGATACAAAAATAAAATATAAGGTGGCAAGTATATGTTAACATCCTTTCCCTTCCACTCATTTTTAGAATCCAAATTTACACTAAGATGGGCTGTCAGCCACTGTCCCTGCAGTGAATCCCAGGCAGTTTCCTATCTCCCTTAACATGCCCTGTGGGATGTTCCAGCCCAAGCTCAGGGCCTCCAGGGAGAAGCCTGGCAGATGCCAGCCTCTGGAGTGAGTGCTAGTGGCACTTGTGAATAACAAGCCGTGGCTCATGTTTGTAAATTGCCTAAGCAAAGCAAGCTGTAAGCTCATTAGCAGTGCATTTCAGTGCATTGACTCCGGGCAAGGAAAGTCAGCTCCTAAAGGTTGGGTGGAAGTTTCTCTGGCTTCTCTTTTTTTATTTTTTGGGGGAAAAATTAAAAAATAATATACTTTTTGAACTAAGTTTGCAAAATCACTCAACACCTGGGGAAACTCCCAGTTTTTGGGATTCTTTTAGACTTAAGTTTCATAAACTGACATTCCCTGGTTTTTTTTTTTTTTTGGGTGGTGGTAAGTGTCTGTTTTTTGGAAATGCTCCCCATCAGATCACGTTCTTTTTAACAATCTGCTGCATGTATAAGGATGTCATTGGGTGCATCTGTCACACTTGCTGCATGAAGCTAGGTAGAATTTCTCCTGATATTTAAACCATGGGAAGTATAACAGTCACATTTTTAATTAGTGGCATTGGTTAAACCTGAAGAATCCTAGGATCTTTAGTGGTTAAATTATAGAACTCTTGAAATGAACGGATCCCAGACAAGCCAGTGCCTTATAATGTTTTATTGGAGCTCATGAGAGCTAGGGGTAAAAAAATGAATGGCCTCAGAATAACCCCTGATAAAGTTTTTTTCAGAACTGTTAAGTTATTGTAAAAGCATAAGCTTATGGATGTTCACAGGGAAAAAAATGGGTCTAAAAATTACTGCTAGCATTTTTTAGTTTGTGGATAAAAATACAGAAGTAGTTTACTAGAGTTGGTATTGTTTTTATTTCTTTGTTAATGAAGCCCTTAGAAATGCTGCGTTTTGGCCAGGCATGGTAGCTCATACATGTAATCCCAGCACTTTGGGAGGCCATGGCAGGAGGATCCTTGAGCTCAGGAATTGAAGACCAGCTGGGGCAACATGGAGAGATCCCATCTCTACAAAAAATATAAAAATTAGCTGGGTGTGGTGGCACACACTTGTGGTCCCAGCTACTCAAGAGGCTGAGGTGGGAGACTTGTGTGAGCCCGGGAGGTGGATGTTGCATTGATCTGAGATCATGCCACTGCACTCCAGCCTGGGTGACAGTGAAAACCTGCCTCAAAAAAAAAAAAAAAAAAAAAAGAAAGATTGTGTTTATGAGATTGCAGAAGATGAGGCAGTAGAGAGGACTGATTCCAGGCACTGAGCGTCTTACTCACCTCCATGGCCTTGTTATAAAGTCTGAAGTTGCTTTGCTCTAGCTCAGTTACTGACATCTTCAGTTTCTAGGCCACAGTTTGTTTCTTAATGGTGTTACAAATTCTCCAACTGGAATAGACTCAGTCACCACAAGGGGAAAAGGAAAGTGGCTCATCAGGTAGATGTTCCTGCAAAATGTAAGATTTCAAAGTTTAGATTTTCATTGCATGTTTGGTAAAGTTTTATATTTTAGAGTAAAGAATTTACATTTTAGAGTAAAGGAGCACGTAAGAGGCTTCTGTTTTATCCAAAGCACTTGGTACTAAAAATATATTTTAAAACAACCCTTTTTATTAAATTTCTTTTTAACAAGTGAAGCTATTTTGACAAATTAGAAAATTAAAAGATTAAATCAGAAATATTGGCTACTGACTGCCTATAACCATTAAGTTGCCTTAGAAAGGTCGAAATTACTAATGGTTTCAAATGTTAAATAAAAAACTGATCATGAGAAAAGCCCAGTTCTCTAAGTGCTTTCCATCCTTCTCATTTGGCTTTAAAAATTGCCACTGTTAAAGACAGGGAATTGACCACACAAGCGTTAAGTGATCCCGAGGCCACAAGAAGGGAAAAAAACCCACAAAGTTAAGTTTAGGGAATTCTGAAGGACAGCTAGGAGAGCAAGCATAGAGTGAAAGAGAATATTCCTGTCAGCAGGAAGAGAACGTTCCAAGTAGGGTGGTGAGAAAGCAAATGTTGTATTCGGGGATACTGGTTCTGTGAACTTAGTAGTTTGAGATTTTCCTAAATACAGTGTTTAAATTGTTTTTATATTGGTTATTTTTTCTGTTTGATAAAACTTACTAAGTTTTCCTTTTGTAGATGAAAGCCAAAAAATTCTAATATGGTGCTTATGTTGTCTGATTAACAAAGAACCACAGAATTCTGGACAATCAAAACTTAACTACTGGATACAGGTAAGAGAGTAAATATTGCTCTGCAGTTTGACTTAAATAGATCATTTAAAAGTGCTGCTTAAAAAATTTTTCAGGGGGGTCCAGTTCTATGATGTTTGAGAAACTTTTTCAATACCCTTCACTGTTACATTATCTTGCTGGGTATAAAGTTTTTCAAGAGATTTCAATTTTGCTTGACTGTGAATTCCAAAAGATATTAGTCCTTAGGGTGAAGACCTAATGTTGAGTGGTTTTGAAAAGCTTCTTTCAGGTGATTAAAATAATGTATTCTATTTCACTCTAGCAATTGCTATCCTTCAGAAAATTGTTTTTCTCTCCCAACCTGGTTTAAATACTTAAGTAATTCCTTTCCACATGCTTCCCTGCCTCTCTCAAAATCTATTTTGTAGTAAAATGAAAATTCAGCAGTGTGGTGGGAGCAGCACTCTATTTTGTGTCCCACAGTTCGTGCCTGGGCCAGCACACGCACATACCGGAATTTGGTACTGCATGGCCTCTGCTGCTGACACTTTCTAGTTGGTTACCTACCATGCTAGTCCAGGTAGCTGACAGCTTCCTAGATTGCTCTGTCTGCTTCTGCTTCCTCCAGAAGGGCAGGTGTAAGGTGGAGATGTGGTGAGGCTGGGCTGCAGCTGCCCTCACTAGCGGCACATTGGCTGTTCTTTTCTGTTTCCCCTCACTGCCTTGCTGCACCAACCCCAGGACTTGCTGATGCGTGCCAAACTCCACTTAGTATGCATGTGTTTCAGATTAGTATTATGCTTAGTATTATTAGTATTATGCTTAGTATTATGAAATCATCCAACCAGATTAGTGCATATGGTTTTGTCTATCAATCTGACTGGTGATGTCATTACATTCGCTGCTTTTTAGGATTTCTTTGTTTTAGACAAAATTCCTAATAAAGATGGTATTTATATTTTCTGTTAGACTGAAAAAATAGAAGGGAGTAAGGGGAATTGGATGGCAGGTAGATCACAAAATCAGGAGATGGAGACCATCCTGGCTAACATGGTGAAATTGTCTCTACTAAAAATACAAATTAGGAGGTACTTTTTAAGTATAGTTCATGGAGGTAAAGTTAAAACACTTAATCTGTGCCTTCAGGGAATTCCCAGACTGGTAACCAGGTCACTCCAGGGCAGCATAGTTGGATTATTGCTAGAGCTGTGTATAGGTGTGACAGTGACATAGAGGGGAAACTTGCTCAGATGGGGGCGTTTGGAGATATTTCCTGGGACAGGTGACATGTTAATTGAATTCTGAAGGACAGCGAGAGGAGCAAGGATAGAGTTAGGGAGAATATTCCTGTTAGCAGAAATAGATTATGCAAAATATGGTGGTGAGAAAGCAAATGTTGTATTCAGGGAACTGCAGATGCTTTGGTTTACCTGGAACTTGGGGTTTTGTGGGGTTGGTGATGAAGCATGAAGCCAGAGAGACCGGCAAACACAGGCCTTGCGTATGACTATAGAAGGTTTTTATCTTGATCGCAGTGTGGCAGACACTAGAGTATTTAAACAGAGAAATCATGGTTGGGTGCGGTGGCTCAAGCCTGTAATCTCAGCACTTTAGGAAACCAAGGTAGGTAGATCACAAGATCAGGAGATGGAGACCATCCTGACTAATATGGTGAAATTGTCTCTACTAAAAATACAAAAAATTAGCCAGGCGTGGTTGCACGCACCTGTAGTCCCAGCTACTTGGGAGGCTTGAGGCAGGAGAATCACTTGAACCTGGTAGGCGAGGTTGCAGTGAGCCGAGATTGCGACACTGCGCTCCAGCCTGGGCAGGAGAGTGAGACTCTGTCTCAAAAAAAAAGAGGGAAATTATGTGGCCAGTATGTAAGTTTTAGAGACTTAACGACAAAAGGAAGTTGGTTGAGAAGAGGGCAAGGATAGACAGTGGAAGCTATTTTAGTGATAAGGTGAGAAATTGTGAGGGCCTCAAAAAAATGGAGAAGGGGGCTTGATTTATAAGATATAAAAAGGTAAACACCCAGAAGGTGTAATGTCATATTAAATGTCGATACACTTAGGCATAGCTGGAAATGTACAGCGAGAAGGTGAATATTCCATTCTCAGGAGACTAAGCTGATTTGCTGGCAGCGGGTTGAAAGCCGCCTGTGGGAATAGTGGAAGCCTTTGGTGAGGTGAGGTCTGCCCCCAGAGAATGCTGGGATAGGGGCACAGGAGAACTAGAGAGAGCCTTGGGAGACACTGACCTTAAGGGAAGTGAAGAATGATTGATGTTTCAGAATGCAAAGAGGGGTCCAAGAAGTAGAAGGAGGGAAGCAATGGAGAATGAGTGCTCATTCATGTCTAATGCCATTCATATCTAACGCAGCGCTGTCCAATAGGAATAAAATATATGCTGCATAGATAATGGCAGACTTTCTGGGTGCTGCTTTAAGAAACGTAAAAAGAAATAGTTAAAATTAATCTTAAGAAGATACTTTACTTAGTTCAATATATCCTAAATACCGTCATTTCAACATGTAATCAATATACAAATTATTAATGAGATTATTCATAATCTTTTTCATGCTGCATCTTTGAAATCCAGTGTGTATGTTACACTAACACTTATGTCTACATGTTATATCTTAATTCAGATGCTAAATTGTCTTTGAAATTCTTGATCTGCATTTAGATTTCATAAACTACAGGGTTAAAAAAGTAGATTCACATACCAAAGTTGTTTCTAAGAATCTTATTATTGAATCAAGTATTGGTGTTTAAATTAAAATCAAAATAAAAAATTCAGTTATTTCCTGGTGCTTACTGCTCTGCAGTGCTCTGCAGCCACATGTGGCAGGTGGCCGTCGTGTTGGAGAGGGCATCAGTGGAGCATAAGGCAGAAGGATCGAGAAGTTCTCTTTAGATTTAGCCTCTGTGAGCAAAGACTCGGTGAGGAGAGGTTTAGTAAGAGGTGGAGGGAAATAGCCAGATTACTCGAGATTGAGAAATGATGGGAGATGAGGAGGCAGAGTTGATAAATTTTATTCTTTCGAGAAACTTGACAGTAAAGGAGGGAGGACTTTGGCGATGAAGGAGGTGATAGCCAGACTAGGGTGGGGTTGGCTGAATTGACCAAGTCCTGAACATGCTTTACTCTGGGAAGAATGTGTGGGTAGGGAGCAGGGTAGGCCATGGGAGGTTGGGAAAACAGTTTCCCTCCTCATTTACCAAGCAAACCTGAACTAAATAACATGAATTGATAAAAGGATGTCTAGGAACATGTTATTTAACTCTTAACAATTATTATTAACATATTAATTATCTAACTCTTAACAACTCTAAAGCTAATTAAATGTGCCTGTCACCAAGCAGTACATAATCTCATGTTGACCATAAATGTACCAAAACAGAAGGTAGTCATTGGTTTATAAATCGGTTTACATCTCGAGTATACTTTATTTTATCTTAGAGGAGATATTTTCCTCATGAATGTTTTAGAGTGACATAGTACATGTTAAAGATGTGTACCTTGTCATTCAGTATCCTTGTGAAAATTATAAAACAGCCATATTTTTAAATGTTTGCTAATTCATTCAGCAAGCATTTATTAGGGCCTACCATGTGCTAGGATATTCTAATTGTAGTGATAAAATCTTGGGTCATTCTGTGTTAGCGGAGCATTACAAATATGATTGAAATACCCTAAATCAAAAACCAAGAATTTCTACGGTAAATTACAAAATTCAGTAAACATTCAAATTAATAAATTTGAAAATGGTAAACTGAGTTGTATTTTTGGCACAGAGAAGAAATAATTGTTTGACACTTGACATGTTAGCATATGTTAAATTGGAAACATTAATGAAATGTTTGAGAGCTTTACTAACCACCTTGAATGTGCTGTCATAGAGCACCACCTCAACGGCTGTTCTTACAGTTCAGAGACAAAGTTCCAGGACTCTTTCATGTATTTTGGGAATATGTGGTCTTGAAAAACATAGTTTTACTCATGAATCCACTGAACAGATACTTTTTGAGCTCCTACTGTTTGCCAGGTACTACTACAGAGGCTGAGGATATAGCACTGGATCGAGAAAGACAGTCTGTTCTCAGATGCTGCAATAGAAGGGGAAGGTTTCCAGGGCCTGCCAAATGTCAGGGGACACCTGTCTTATCTGGCAAAACCATACCACTGTTATTTTTTTATTCTGATGAAAAAACCAGCGGGGTACCAGGAACAGAGATCAAAAGTGTTGTATTCTATCGTATTCCCTTTCGAAATGCAGTGCTAAGCAATATCCAGTTAGCTTCTGTCCTCTATTTTCTTTTATTTTAAACAAAACTTTTAAATTAAAAAAAAAATCTAACAAACTTACACAAAATATAAATGCCAAACTTAACAAATTGTGAAAGATCCTTGTAACCACCACACAAAGAAATAGAATAGAACATTGGCTGCTCCTAGATGTCCCTGCCCTCCATGTGCCCCTCTTTGTTTTTATTCCTTTGGCCTCCTCCACTAGTTACCACTAGTCTGGCTTTTATTTACATTTCCTGATGGTTTTACCACTTAATTATGCCATTTGCCCTATTTTTTAGCTTGATAGAAATGGAATAATGCACTATGTATTCTTTTGTGTTTATTCTTTTGTGTATTATTTTTGTAAGATTCAGTCATGATGTTGGGTGTAGTTTGTTCATTTTTATTGCTGTATAATATTCAATTTCATGAACATACCACAATATATTGATTCTACCTTGGATAGAAATTTGTTTCCATTTTGGGGTGAGTAGGAACAATGTTGGTTTGAAAATTCTCACATATATTCAGAGTCCAAAGCATGTATTTAAAAGGAAGTAATATTGCATGTTCCAGGATATACATGTCTTTAATTTTATTAGTTCATACAAAATTGCTTTCCATGGTGGTGATTCCAATTTAAATTTCCCTGGTCATCGTGTGTGAGTTCCACAGCCTCTGTGTCTCTCGACATTGACAATGTTTCAAGTGCTAGGTATTCTGATGAATGTGTGTGATAG